GGGGGGGGAGGGGAGGGAGAATATTCGAGCCGCGTGAGTCGCTGGAATATTCGTCGGATCGGGGTGGGAAATGACGGGGCCGCGTTTTATATTTATAACGGGGAATTTTTCGCTGTCCGACGCGTTTAATACAAGCCGCCGGGGTCCGAGATATTGAAGTTTGACGACGTTTACAAATCGCTGACGGCGAACGACGCGGTCGCTGTTTCGACCGAGGGTGTCTCTGTGTTCTACACAGGAATTACCCCGTGCGAGCGGCTGCTTTCAGAATGAAATTAAATCCTCCAGCCGACGGAGGTGTTGGAGATGAAGGTGCGACGTTGTCCAACCAACTTGCCGGATATAACGACCAACAGTTCGCGAGATAGATGACAAAGAGATTTTCTGCGCGTTGAAAACCATTCTCATTCTCGGACGTTACACTATTTCTTGTTTCGGTTGTCTTTGCGTTCCTGCATAGCGAAAAAAATTCGTTTGCACATGTTTAAACATTTTCTTTTTTTTTTGTTCACTTATATCCCTTTGAGGAAGGGTTTAGAATATCGGTTATCAACAAATGAACAAATCACTGAATTTTTATGCATTTACAAGAAATTATACGTGAAACATTAAAAGTATGTAACATTTAATTATATTCTCAATAAAAATCATAAAAATCCACAGTCTATGATCCCATACGCATGACAAAATAAAATGAAACAACAATTGATATCAACATGAAAATGAAGTAACAACTTATTTGATTAATATCAAAATTTGTGTAAAAAACAATATATACATACGTATTACATTTACACAATTAATGTATATGCTCTATTTATAACACAAGCTCTCAAGATAACAATTCTATTGCTAATTTGATTAAAACAATATGAATTGATATATATATTATTATCATTATTGATATATCAATATCAATTGTTTAAAATAATATATACATACGTATTACATTTACATAATTAATTGTTTACGACGCAAGATTTCAAACACCTCACAAGACGGCAATTCTACTGCTAATTTCACGACCAGAAGCAGTCAGAAGCATCGTCAGAAGGATCTTAAAGACAGGAGCAGACGGCGATAAGTAGACGTTGGCCCCAGAAGGAAAGCGAAAACTATCCCGGTCGATCGATACCGGTCGGTTGCCTCGCAATTCCGCAAAGTATATTAACAGGTTGCCAATATCGCGACGGCGGACAGCAAGGAGGAACCACGGAGGGCGACATTGCGAGGCAAACAATTTAATATGCGCCGCCTCTCGACGAAAGTCCTCGCTAAGGACCCTTCCCTACCCTGCGCGCATACCTTATCTGTCTTCTAACAGTCACAAAGCCGAGATCTGCACGTTTATTGGAAAGCTCTGCTGTCATGCGAACCCCCGGCACCGCGATGAAAGACGCGCTCCTTCGCTCCCTCTTCGTCGCCCTTCGCCAACCCCTTTCCCTATCTTTCTCCTCTACTCTTCTACTTCGTGCGCGCTTTCATTCGTCCGCCTCTCTGTATCATCGATACATACAGAGAAGCCAGTTGGGCTCTGCTGGCTGCCTCTCTTATCTGCCGGCTGTTCAACTGTTCACCGTGGCACGCGCTGGCGGCCCCCGCGATTTTCCCGTTGGAAAACGGGAATTTCCCTGGCATTTCCCTGGTTTTGAGCGATTGCCCGGAGATCTCCTCGAGCGAAACAATTAGACGAGATAAGGCGGCGCGGTAGTCGCAGCGGAATTTTATCCGCTGTGTTCAGTTGGATTACAACTCTGTTTGTTCTTCTCTGTGATCCCGACGAGTTACGGGGAAAGCTAGCGGGTTTAAGCGGCCAGGCGGCCGGAGAGAGAGAGAGAAAGGCTGGTTTTTAGTCAACAGTGGACAGGTTTAGTCAAAGAGGATGGATGGATCGTTGATATTGCAGGCTCGAGCGCGATTTTATATTAAAATACTTAAAATGAAGAGGATATGTTGGCTAACAATAAAGAATAACACACGTATGTATTGTTAGAGCAACGATACGCGTTCGTTAGGCTGTTTAGTTGCATAGGGTGGCCACCGAAAGACTGAATGATATTAAACAAAAATAACTTTTACAGACACATGCTTTTTTTAAATTTTTTACTATTTTATTTGGAAATATAATTAATGGATTTTTTTCTCAGTATCATGCGCGAAAAACTAAGAAAAAGAAAATAGAAAAATATTGAAAACGAACAAGTTATGATTTTTTTCAAACACTTCAGTGGCCACGTTATAGAAGATACCTTATAAAAATTGGATCTGAGGATTCAAAACGAAGGAGAAGAGAATACACGTGATATATTGGTAAAAATGATGGTTGGA